GCGACTCATCGAGACCGATGTTAACATGTCCAGCCGACACCGGTCAGGGCCGGGCCGGGTCGGATCACAGGGGCCGTCGGGCGGTCCGCCGCCGCCGCCGCCATGGGGGATCGATAGGCGTTGGGCGGCCGCGGCCGCCGCAAGGGGGCGTCACTGGGCCGCCCTGCCGGCCGACGGCGGCGGCGGCGGCGGCGGCGGCGGAGGCCAGTGCTGCGGAATTCGACGGCCGTCCGAGGGCCTGTGCGTCGAGCGGGACCGGGCGTGGCCGGCCAATGTAGGGCGAGTGTGGTGACGACACGCGGACAGGGTCGATAGACAGGTGAGCCCAGATCCTGAATCCACTGAACTCGATAAGAGTTAGATAATCGAGAACAAAAGAATGAATGGGGAATGAATGGGCTTCCTCCCCGTTCTTTTGCCTCTCTGTGTGACATTGAGTAGAGTGAGCCCATCGCTCATGGAAGGGGGATGGGTTGCCGAGCTAGCCACTGAATCAAAGGGAATGGGCAACATTGAGAGAGAGAGAGAGAGAGAGAGAGAGAGAGAGAGAGAGAGAGAGAGAGAGAGAGGCGAGAGGGAAGAGGACGGATGTCTGAGGGTGGATCATTGGTGGACTGCGCTGAGAGTGTGCCGAAGATTGGACGATGCTCTGTGATGGCTCCAGTCGATGATTAGACGTCTGATGATTGTGGTCCGATGACAGGAGAGCACTCTGACCTGACATTTGCTGACCCGACCGAGTGTCCGGTCTCGCCGTGTCGCCAAAGGTGCACCGTGCCATCTGATGATTGGGGTCAGTCAGGTCTCAGCGGAACATACCGGTGAACACAAATAACTGCGCAGTTGCAGTGGGAAACGAACCTCTGGGACCTCCGTCGCACTCACATTTACAAATCTGCTGAATAGCAGGGTAGTGGGAGTATGTTTATAACATTATTTCGCAGTGGTTGGTGTTCAATGCTTATGAGAACGATGCAATACACTGGAAGTGCAATGCTGGTATTATTCTGCTTTGGCTTGAAACTGCTATTTATATTTGTAGAAGGCACACTCAAAATTCAAATCAGATACCACCTACATGCGTCAAATTGCACCACACAATTTAATTCACATCACGCATATATTTCTTACCCCCATTTACAAAGAAGGATTGTAAAGGGCGGGTCAAAGTTGAAACTTGAAAGACACAATGTTAGGAACATACAAGCTTTTTATATTATAACCGCATCTAAAAGATCATTGGAGGCTACATCAACATACACATCCGCCTGAGATCATGCATTTCAGACGAGTTATATGGCTCACATCAGCTTTTGTGATTGAGGCACGGCACACCAAAATTTGTGCTATCGAATTCGCTAGCTTTCCGGACCTGCACTGAAAATAAATTCACACCCGCTCCTGGTGTTTACACCTTTTTAGGAAATGTTTACACCCCACCGTTTTTGAGCACCTGCACCGGTGTAGTTTCAACACCAAGCTTTGGTGTAAGCATACACTGAATCCTGGTGTAACACCAGGCACATACACTGGCGTATGGTGTTAAATCACTGTAAGTACACCAGTTTGTGGTGCTACACGACGTCTTTACACCATAAAAAGGTGCTACACCATTAATTTGCACCTTCTTTACGGGTACAAAACAAATACCCTTACACCAATGTGTGGTATTAGTAGCCAATTGGGTACACCCCCTTCCGGTGTTGTAAAGGAGATACACCGGTGTTTGGTGTAGCTGCAGCTCGATGAATTAGTATATATATATATATATATATATATATATATATATATATATATATATATATATATATATATATATATATATATATATATATAAATAAAGACAAATAAAGACAAATAAAGAAATAAAGACATTCCTTAAATAAAGACAATTTATTTTGTAACGTCCGAGACGAGCAATAAACAAATGTTATTAACAAAAATTGCGGCAACTGTGAGTGGCGCTTTCTCAAGTGCACGGGTGGTCGCCGGACTCTGCTGACAACATACCAGACCAGACACTTATTTATCTCACACTTATTTATCACACTTATTTATCACTTATTTATCTCGCACCACCTCCAGTCTCCACACAGCCCCGCATCACTCGACTCAAACTGAAGCGCGAATCAACACGCCGCCGTTCATTTGAATTTACGCATGTGCACGCGCAGCCGCTCGCGCTGGCCGGCGGCCGGCTGACCTTGAATCCAAGGCCATATCCGAGCCATGGTAACGGTGCTAGTAACACCGTTTAGAGATCAATGAACTGGGAGCTACACCATTGTGTGGCGTATGCGATATAACGTCTCTGTCACGGGGTGTTGACACCAAATGGTGGTGTTATTTATCCGCAGCGTCGGTTGGTCTGAGGTGGCATTGGTGTTATTTGTCGGTGTTGATTTTGAACACCGAGTAATTGCACCATTCTTCGGCGTTACACCCCACAGCTACACAGTTGAGTTGTGTTACACCCTACCAAAACGCCTCTCATTGGTGCTTATTTTCGTGTCACCGGCACGCGAGTGTTAATTTATTTTCAGTGTGCCGATTATTTGATTGCACTGTTAAATATTCGAACCAACCGTACCATTTGCGAGCGATTCTGCCGAGGGTTTATGCCATCCATCATAGTTCTATGGCCGGTCTAATGGAATGTGGAGATCTCTCCGAAGAGCTGTTGAGTTCATCAGATCGACGAATCATTCAGAAGGCAGGCCAAGCTATGATTGGCTGACGGGCTTATCACCGGCGCGGACTCGATCCTCTGCGCCCCAGAGAGCTCGGTGGTCTTGCCTCGGAGCCGGATTGGAGACGATGCCAACACGTGGCAGTTGACGGCGACGGCGCGGATGGTCCCGATTGCAGACGATGGCGGCTGTGGGTCTGCTCGGCTGGGGCCAGGTGCAGCATTACCATACGAAAGGCGGTCGAACAGAGATGGCATTAGCTTCTTGTCTGCCTGTGTGCTGGCTGTTTGGTATCAGTATTTGATCGGTCCCCCGTCCACGGTCCACCGTCCATCGCGTGGCGTCACCGTCCACCGTCCACAGTCCACCGTCCATCGTCCGCCGTCCACCGTCCACCGTCCGCCGTCCACTGTCCACCGTCCATAGTCCACCGTCCACCGTCCACCGTCCACCGTCCGCCGTCCACTGTCCACCGTCTACTGTCCGCCGTCTTCTGTCCACCGTCCACCGTCCATCGTCCACCGTCCACCGCCCACCGTCCACCGTCCGCCGTCCACTGTCCACCGTCCATAGTCCACCGTCCACCGTCTACTGTCCGCCGTCTTCTGTCCACCGTCCACCGTCCATCGTCCACCGTCCACCGCCCACCGTCCACCGTCCTCAGTGCTATCCAGTGCTATCGACCGGTGGCCGGCCTGGTTCAGCTGCATTGCGATGGAGCCGCCGACCGACAAAACCCCAACGGATTACCGGACGGAGGACGGGACTGGGATAGGACGAAGTGGGACAGGACGGGACTGGGACATGACGGGACTGGACTGGGACAGGACTGGGACATGACGGGACTGGGACAGGACTGGGACAGGACTGGGACAGGACTGGGACAGGACTGGGACAGGACTGGGACAGGACTGGGACAGGACTGGGACAGGACGGGACTGGGACAGGACGGGACTGGGACAGGACGGGACTGGGACAGGACGGGACTGGGACAGGACGGGACTGGGACAGGACGGGACTGGGACAGGACGGCAGGGCTGCGGAGTCGATGGATTTTCGGCGACTCCGACTCCGACTCCGACTCCGGCTTTCAAAAACCAGCTCCGACTCCGACTCCGACTCCGGGCAGAATTGTCGACTCCGACCGACTCCAACTCCCGACTCCGACTCCGCAGACCTGGCAGGGCTGTTGAGTCGACGGATTTTCGGTGACTCCGACTCCGACTCCGGATCGGGTTTCCAAAATCGACTCCGACTCCGACTCCGGTCACAACTGTCGACTCCGACCGACTCCGACTCCGACTCCGCAGCCCTGCACGACGGTACTGGCCACTGGGACAGGACGGGACTGTGAGATGGGATGGAGGATGGGGAGGGGACAGGATGTATATTGTATACTTTTGACATCCAACAAACGCTGGCATACGTCCGCCTGAAGCTGGCGTTCTGGCGATCTGTAAGGGCATGCCCTACGAACTGTTGCGTAGTTGTCTGTGACAGTATGCAGGACAGGCATATGCCATCCTTGGCGGCTCTCACCGGCTGACAGCTCGGCCTCATTCTGGGGAATATAGCCAGCGACCACAGCTCTAATAATTGCTGCATTATTAAGTGCGCCCTGCAAAGGTCATGAGCGCGCCGACGATTAGTGGCGTGCTGACCTGTATTGGCGAGTTCTGTGCAGCGGCCGCACAGGAGATGACAGGACAGACAGGGAGACGTGCTCTGTGCCGCTCACAAAGACAGTGCAACTGCACAGTACTACGTGGCTGTTCAATGTTTGAGCCAAGCGGTGCTGTGTACGACATGGAGCATACTGGCTACTGCATTACCTGAACACTTCGAAGCTGTCCTTGCTTCTAGCGCCCAATGTTACATAGCTTGCTGGCCCGGGTGCACCCACAGCCAGTGTCAACCGTGTGTTGAGATGTGTGAGCTTCGACGGGCAAAGGCATTCAGTCAGACATGCGAACTAGAAACCCTCAGTAGATGCCCACTCAGCCTTCTGCTTGTCCAGAAGCAATGGTCAGGCGTCCTAACAACGCCCGGCTATTCTGGCATTCAAAAACAATCTTTCACCGCCCAGTCTTTTGCTGATATTAAATATTCTAGGCATGTCTTAGAGCCATGTCTTATGGTATTCCTGGCATTTCTGGCAAATTCATTTACCCAATGCTTTTGTCATCCAGAGTCTGTGTAATGTTGACGTCCCGCAGACAAGATGGCCCAAATTACCAATTATTCGTTGCCGTTTGTAAGTACCCGTGCTGTGCCGCATTCATCTGACCATTGTTCTCTATTTCATTTCAGGTATGACATCTGTTCGCCAAGAAAGATGAATGCCGTATATGAAGAGCGCGAACTTTAAATGGGTAAGTTCAAAGCCGTATGCACATCTATGCATGGGATAAAACAGCTTAATAGCCGTGTTCACGACGGGCTATCCGGCGAGTGCACCTGATTTGACCAAATCTGCACCTAATCTCTTTTGCAGCAAATATTTTCATTTTATGAATTCATTTCAGTGTTTTAATCGATGATGCTCTCTGATAATACGACAAGGCAGGCATATAAGCAATTAGTGTAACCCTAGCTGATAGCTACTAAGAGAAACTGAACCTGATTTGACCAAATCTGCACCTGATCTGTACCAGATGTGCACCAAATGTGTACCAGATGGCCGTCGTGAAAACGGCTAATGTCTAGTTTTTGTCTGCGACGGTACACAAAACGGCTTCTTTAGAGTGGAGGATAAGACGTTAGGTAAACATTGGCGTATATAACCGCGTCATCAAGGGGTTTCAGCGAACATACTTTGCTCAACAAAATTTGCTATGCAGTGACAATGATATCGTTGCTGAGCTGTTGCGATGGCAGTGATCCATTCCATAGACACCATAGCGGTATTTTTAAAATAGAGTTAAAAGGCACCACTTCGTTATTATTATTTTTAGGTACGTGAACAACATTGACGGCTTTTCTGTAATACTATGTATAGGAATGAAAACGTACTTTGCCTAAGTCTGTTTTACTTTCACCTATAACTGATAATACTAGTGCTTAATGCACACTAAACTTAGTCACTAATTCAAGGAGAATAAAGTAACTCATGCCAATAGGCAGCATTTGTCTCACCTTCTCTCTCTCTCTCTCTCTCTCTCTCTCTCTCTCTCTCTCTCTCTCTCTCTCTCTCTCTCTCTCTCTCTCTCTCTCTCTCCCTCTCTCTCTCTCTCTCTCTCTCTTTCTCTCTCTCTGTCCCTCTCTCCTTCTCTCCCCCTCTCTCTCTCACTCTCCCCCTCTCTCTCTCACTCTCTCTCTCTCTCTCTCTCTCTCTCTCTCTCTCTCTCTCTCTCTCTCTCTCTTTACACTTTTTTCTCGCTCCTCTCCCCATTCATCCAGCCCACACATGGGCCGAACCATCTGCCTGTGTCGACTCGCTAAAGCTGCCATTTCCATACACTTCCCACCGTTATGTGTGGGTCGGCAGCCAGCCAGGCACTGCTTTGGATCTTGAGGCGCGGCAGAGCTCGAAGTAATGGCCTCCGGTTCGAACCAGCGCCGGCGATATGCGCTATATCTTTTCCCCGAATCTGAGCGGCCACGCTGACAGCGATGCGCGGGTAGATGGATTCGATAAGCCACACTGTGCCACATTGAACACGCGCTATATGACACGTACCTCACGCGGTATTTTTCTTTAAAATGGTTTTCTCTTTTCCACAAAGAAAGGACCATTGGCTATCACCTTTACTTAGTATTGAAATGTCGCTTTTTTCATGCTTGAACAGTTTTCTTGTCTTACCTTGATTGAATGATCCGTAAGAACTCAGGATTGTGGGAAACGGCTCCAGCGGCTACTTGCTCCGGAGGCCCGGAGACTATAATATACCAAATTTAATTAGAAGCGATCACCCTTCCCGCTATGGCGTATTTACACCAAACTGTTTTCCATTGAGCCCGACACTCTCCTTGCCTCGACATTCTCCGCTGCGCCGCCCAGTCGACCCTTCTGGATTGGCTATCGGTCAACGCTACCTGCTAATGGCCATTCTCACTACGGTCGACGTCACCACCTGCTGATGTCCATTCTCACCGCTGACCAACGCCTCATCAACACTGCCCAACGCCTGACGATTAGCCAACACTCTCTCAACACTGACCAACGCCTGACGATTAGCCAACACTCTCTCAACACTGACCAACGCCTGATGGGCAGCCACCGCCCTCATCATCACTGACCTATGCCGAATGGCCAACCTGACCCACGCTGGGTGCTCAACACCAGACTGCTGCAACACCTAGTGGTACTGTGCAGCCAATGTTTTGATGCGAGACGATGGAGGACTATTTCAGCACTTCTGGGCAGGGTGCGAGTACCTATACAATAGCTTAGCAACAATGCACGTAATAATTACCACCTAGTCTTTCGTACCACGTAGTACGTACGCTGCAGGCTGCCAATGCCAATTGTTTCTCCGAGTTTTGTCATCGATAGGATTCCCATACTCGCCACGAAGAAGGTGTATGTGTGCCTTGCTTACGCACAAGTAAAACAGCGATCGCCATAATCCGATCACCACCAAGAGCTGTGGCCCTGGGTGCTATTTACCTCTCTGTCAAACAGACCGAGCTAATGGAAAAAATTAACAGATAACTAAAAATGATACAAACAGCTCAATAAAAATGCAGCTTTAACGAGGCTTCAGTAAACATTAGCAACTTTGGTGCAGCATCGATGAACTATAACTATTTAAGTACGATTCACTTCAAGAGGTCAGGAGTCAGGTCTGAGGGTTCGACTCAAAAGTAAGCCAAACAACATACTGATGTCCGTTTTTCCGGTTTATCCAAACACCGTTCGTCGTGCTCATTTTGTTATCCCAACACGTTTATCCCAACATTTCTATCCCAACTTCACGCGTGTCGGGATAAACTAAAATCGGTACTCGCTAGCATAAAATATCTGGGTGTGGAAAGAAATATTTGTTCGACGTCCTCTTCCGTTCCCCCTATCCCTTCCACAGCCGACGCGGGACGCCACCCCTATTTGCGTAATAAGGAGGTTCATGTGAAGTCATCTTCCTTATCCCGGATTTTGTTGATATCCGCGTTCTCTGAATGCCTAGTCATGGAGATACCCATACCGTGGCGTCGAAGGGGATGCTCGGTCGGGGACGGGGGATGGAGGAACGGTGCATGCCTCCAGATTGATTGGTCAGGAACGGCATCGGTAGGTCGCTGTGGGCCAACGATCGCTGCCTGAGCTGCTGTCCCAGCCACTGCATCTCCAGCCCATATCGTTGTAATCGCCTCACACCACCACGGATATTGGCCCACCGTCACCTGTCAAAACCCATCGTCATCTGTCAAAGCCCGCCGTCACCCTTCCATCCCTACAGTCAAACTGACAGCATCAGCCACTGCCGTCATCGCCAAGTGCCAACACAGCCAATCACAACACCGCGGCCGTCACATGCATCGTCACCTCGTAGTCACAGGTGCGTCACACTCGCCGTCACAGGGCTGTCACAGATCCCACACCCATCGTCACAGGTCCGTCACAGGTCCATCACAGGTCCGCTATATCCACCGTCACAGGTCCCTCTCACAAGTCACAGGGCCGTCACAGGTCCCTCACACGGGCCACTGTGGCCGCCGCCAATTTCGGCATCGACCCCGCTGCACCGGCACGGCACGGCGGCTGGCGCCGTCGAAGGCGACGTCGACCGACGCTCCACTTGGTTCCCGCGACACGCCCGACAAATACGACGACGCTGCGGCTCGAATGGCGTGGGGCGAAGGAGGGAGGGAGGGCGAGACAGGGGCGGGGGGGGGGGGGGCTGCAAAGTGCGTCGATGACTTTAGGGAGGACTAGCGGAGCTTAGTACGGAGAACTGGCGTAGTGTGTGAGGGGGACGCGGACGGGACGCGGAGGGACTCGGGTGGGGCGTGACGCGGCCGTGGCGTGGGGTGGAGTGGGGAGGGGTGAAAGGCCCCGCGGCACGGTAGGTCGGCGGTGGCGCGCGGCACACAGTGCCGACTTGGTGCGTCAGCTGGCGGCTGGTTCCGGTCAGTCGATACCAGGTCCTGTGTGTGTGTGTTTGTGTGGCGCTGTGCTGTGTGTGGGCCTGTGTGTGTCCGGCGGTGTAGTCGAGGGCAGGTGCTTGGGCCGTGTGCCATCAGTGTATAGAGAGGCGATTAGTGGTTGTTTGCGCTGGCCGATAGCGCGTTTGTAGCGCTGCCGCCGCGCCAGGTCGCTGCCGCCCAGGCGGTCGGCCGGTCACGTATAACCATCGCCGGCGAGGAGCGGCTGAGGCGGCTGTTTCGATCGGTGGCTGCCCTGCCCCACCGCTGGAGTGGCCGGCTCAGGAGCGGCTCCTGAGGATCCGAGGAGCGGCGCCTACCGGGGCAGGAGCGGCTCCTGAGGAACCGAGGAGCAGCGCCAACTGGCAGGGCAGGGGGTGGGGCTGGCCACGTCGGCCGCCGCCCGTCGACCGCCTCATCAAATATTCACACCGCCGCCGCCCAAAGACCGTGGGGAGGGGAGAGGGGGTGCAAAGATCGCGAGGAGGGGAAGGCTACACAGTGACGCCCCAAGGTAGCGGGACTGGTCACTGTCCAAATTCCACTGCAAGGGCTCGTAATTACTTACAGCGGCAAAGTATCTGCTGTAGAGCCAGGTGCTTGGCTGGAAAACCCCATAGCAGCCACACTTTCCGACTTTCCCGACTTTTCCGGTCCCGATTTTATCGACTTTTGGTTCATTGACCTGACCTGGAAGGTCAACCGATGACCTAGGACCTTAAAGCTGGGTATCATTGGCTTCCTCTCATGACGGGCAACACGCTCGTTTTTTTCGCGAAGCTCTAGCTCGATCAGGGGCCAAACACGAGGGGGGTCGTACATACCAACTCCCCCCCCCCCCCCCTTGTGCCGTGGAAGGGCGCAAAATGGCTTGTGCCGGCTAGGGTTAATTTTATTACGGTAACAGGTAAAACAAAAATTGTTTTTATTCAATTTTCGTGGTGCGTCAAGGTATGGTTTCACGAAACAAAAGCATTTGATGATTATTTTCCCTGCCAAAACTACGGATAGTAAAAGTGGAAGCAGCAGGTCAGATCCAAACATATAGCAGCGTCTTTAGATAAAGGCCCTGACTCGTCTTCTCTTCGAGTCTGACGAGCTGTGTTGGTGTGTTACAGAGTCGCGCCTCAGCGCTACTCAGTAGCCTGCCGATTCTGACGAGCTGTGCTCGTGCGTTGCAGAGTCGCGCCTCAGCGCTGCGCAGGCGTGAGGTGTCACCAGGACGATGAACGACGACTCGGACTCGATACTCGACGAAGACGAGCGCAGCATCTTCCAGCCGTTCACCCGAGAGTCGTTAGCCGCCATCGACGCTCGCATCGATGAGGAAAATGCAAAGAAAAAGGAACTACAAAAGAAGAAGGAAGAAGGAGAGGTGAGTAGAGACCCGCTTCAGGTCGACGCACTTAGCGTCTTGTTTCTTATCCTGTGCGTAGCTCGTTTTGGAAGCATTCTTTTATGTGCTTGTCTCAAAGCGTTTTTAAACGTTTAAGGCATATTCAAAACTCGATATCATTTGTTCATTATCGGTCGGGTATCACACACAAATCAATTAAAATGAACATACTACCTTTCCAGTGCGCTACATTTTTTCATAAGACAATGCTTAGATGCAGTTGGTGAATACTAATTGGCATTTTGGTAAAAAAGAGCGAATACAACACTCTAACATACATTCAACAAATGGTGAGCACTTAAAGGGACTTTCCCACCTTTACATTAGGTTTGAGTTGAGATAGCCAAGTTTGCGGCGAGGTTCAGAAACCACTATCTATCTTGGTCTCAACCCCTGCAGCCTCGTGCTGTTGAAGAAATTCGTTCCCTTCATTTGAAAATGTTCCCTGTACAAGTCCCAATCTCTTAACCATTAACGGCAATCTGATGACGTCATTTGCCTTTTGAACGCCTGTCACGCATTCAAATGAAGTATCACTTGATTTACGAATAAGCCAATCAGAGACACTTTTGTTGCTGTATGAGCCGCGTCATATTTGAGAGCAAATATATTTGTTGCCAAATTTTCCCCCACATTGACATGAAGTAAATCCTTCATTACGTCACAGATTCGATCTAAATGACGTCACGATGAAATATAAAAGTCGCAATATCTCAAAAAGTATAAGATGAAAACGCGCAAAAACTTGCAGAATTCGTCACGATATCATAAGTAACATTTCCGAATCATAAACGGTGCTTTTTTGAAGGTGGGATAGTCCCTTTAATGGAGAAGTATGATGTTCTGACATTTGTCGTTAGGTAGGTGTGTAATGGGAGCATGGATCATGTTTTCATGGAATTAGTCGGTTTCATTTTCGTCCGTCAGTTTCTTTCTTCCCATTTACAAAGACGGCTTTGGGGCAACTGAATCATATTGCACTAGTTTGCATGATACCAATTCTATGGATCAATGCATTTACTCCAATGCCGTCTTGTTTTGCCTTCCAATGTGTTGTCCAAGTTGTTGGCTTTTATGAATACGTAATTGGAAGTACTTGAAAGCCAGCAATTTGTTCAACAATTTGTGTTAAATGTGTTAATGTTTCAATGTATTTACTTATCTTCTTCCGCTATGGCAACTTGCAACTTCTCTCTTTGTCACTGTTACGCGCCTGTCTTCGCTCTCGCTATCTCTTTCTGTGTGTCTTTCTCTTTCTCTCAGTCACAGGAGACATCTATTAGAGGAAGAAGACGAAAAAAGAAAGAAGTAAGACCCGAGGCATATGCACTTTGCATTCCTAATATGCCACATTGACTCTAGAGATGAGGCGCTGCGTGCTTAATTAGAGGATCTCGAGCTGAACTGCCTTGTCGATAAATTGGCAATGACAATTGACACGCGAGACCCTTGCATGTAAAAAGTTAGTGAAATACATTGTTTAGTTATACAGATGTTCTAGAGATTATTTTTAATGAAAGTTGTTTAGTTCATGTACGCATTGAATTTACGTATTGCAATTAAAATTCCTTCACTTCTAGCCCCCAATAATTGATCGCACAAAAAATGAAACTTTTCAAACCAATATTCTCACAATACCTTTAAATTCAACTTTATTATTTATTTGAGTATTATCATTCCTAGTGAGACAAAATAGATAACTGAATAGTGTCCAGTCACTGATCTGCAACTATAAATCGTGTGAAAAGTTTCAACAATGCTGGCTAAGCTATGTAACATAACTTTGTTACGTCACTTAGGAACATTGTAACTGGTCAAATCTATCAACTTGCTCGCGAGCAACTTGCTTTCTTTTGCTTGATTATTTATATACAAACAATAAAAAATATTTATACTTTATAGACGTAATTATTGTCCTTTAGTAAATCGCCCCATACCTGAGGTCAGCAAACTGCAGCACGTGTCAGCTCGAAATCCTCTACCTCACATACAGATACTGCACAACCATCGGCGAGCAGAGAGCAGCCGACACAGCAGTGCTCTCGGAATGCGCTTCTCCACAACTTGATCTTCTGTCTTCTCTTTCTCTCTAACACCTCACACTCTGCTTTTCTTTTTGGCCGGCTCAGAGCCGCAGCAGGTCTGCGCTGGCGCTGTATGAGCCTGGCGAGGTTGGTGACCCGATATCCCGTCGGTCCGTCAGTCAATCACTCCGTCTGTTTTGTCCGTTCGTCCTGTCCCGCGTCTAAGCAGTCTGTAGCGATAGGTCACTAGTTGGGCTCTCTCCTACTGGCCAGTTTCACACCACCCTTTACGTAGTAGTTAAACGTCATTTCACTCTTACTATGTGAAGGCTGAATATTTGAAGTGGAAGCAGGATAAACAGCCACATTTTGTCTATCCTTTTGTGATTGGCTAGAAGTACTTATCTTGTAAGGTGGATTACTCATCACTTCATACTTGATCGTCGGTTGTCGACGGCTGGTGCTCTCGGGGCTCTGTTCAGTGCCGAAATATTGCGGCATTTAGCGTTGTTTGGTGTTGAAATTATATTTGCTGGAAAGAGGATTCATCAATTACCTACAGGCCAGCTGGGGAACTTTTGAACTGTAGCAGATGAAAAGTTTTTGAAGATCTTAAAATTTAAGATTTTGGCAATTTTCACTTTTAGCTGGCTTCAGTTTTCCTAGGAAGATGATTTGATTTTTTCGCGCGGCATTCGTGACGCCCAACGCAGTGATCCTCCAGTCTCCACTTTCTAGACTCATCTTTTGAAGCGACTGAAACTAAGCAAATACAATGATCGATCCTCAAGCTTACCGTCTAAGAATTGGAATGTTCTGTATCCGAATGAGAAGAAAATTGAAATCAGATAAATCAGATGAATTATTTCAGCATGATTCGCTCGCTTTGGGGATCGCCCTGATCCTCACACTACTTGTGATCGGAGGCGTGGAGCAGAATCCCGGTCCCGACTACACTGATGATCCTCTTCCTGGCCCTTCATTCTCCGACGTGACCTTGATGGATGTCATGGAAGCCATTCGTATCAGTCAGCTGCAGATTGATCAGCTCTCAAGGCAAGTCGACGCTTTGATGGCGGCAGTAAGAAAGACATCTAATGATGATAGGCATGCGCTACCAATACCACCACCGATGGATACCACTATGGGCAGCTCCTCGGCCTCTCGTCCGACCCAGACGACTCCATGTGACCCATCTCATAATATGAGTCCTGAGCCCAGCGCAACAAAAGAAGCAAAGTCGCCGATCAATTCTAGCTCGCCATCACCACCCATAACTGGCGCTGAGTCGCCGACAGTCATCCGGCAGAGAGGGAGCAGGAGTGCCAGAACAAGTTCGTTGCCGAGCGTTGGGGCGGTCATGCTCGGCTGCCAGAACGTGCGCCGTATCGCTGTGGCAGCTAGAGACGAGTTTCTCCTCGGTGGACAAGTCGTCTTCAAGAGCATCAGGGGAGGAACTGTACGCGGCGTCCTGGGAGCCCTTCACGGTGCCGTGGCTGGCTGCAGGGCGGTCAGCGCTGATCTTGTCCTTCATCTCGGAGGTAACGACTTGGCTCGGCAAAGTGTGGACTATACTCTGGACTGCATAGCCGAAGTAGTCAAAGCTGCTAAGCAAGTAAGCAAGGTAAGAGACATCGTAATATGCTCAGTCCCTCAGGATCCATCCACACCAATGAACTATCCAACCATGAAACGTGCAGACCTGAACGATGAGATCGAGCGACTGTGCCTGAGTGAAGGCATTCACTTTCTTGATCTACGACCACGGCTAAATGAGTGCAACTTTCATGGCTTAGACAGGTCCAGATTGAACTTGAACAGGGCAGGGTGCAGAAATGCTTGGCAGTTGCTGGCGAGCGAGGTGACTGGTTTTTTAGACTAACGCCCGTCAGCAGAGATTGTTCTGCTTTTGTTGCTGAAGGGACTGCTGAAGCTAGAGCCAATGTCCTGTCCAACCAAGAATGTAAATCAAAATATGGACTGTCGATTGGCAACTTGAATGTGAGGTCGTTAGCGCCATCGGCAGATCTTATATCTGATTATGTCAAACGTCACGACCTCGATGTAGTGTGCTTCACTGAGACGTGGCTAAGGAGGGGTGTGCCGAATGTCCCTATTGCCAATTTAACATTAGCCAGCAGAGTTGATAGGAAACGCAAGGGCGGGGGTGTAGCCATTTACTGTCGAAGTGATTTGACTCACGTTAGGCTGACCTGTCCTACCATGCCTAGCTCAAGCCGCCTTGAGTTAACTTGGGTGAACGTGCAGTGTGGGCATAACCGGTCATTGGTGATCGGCTGCGTGTATAGACCTCCCACATATGACGGTATTAAACAGGATCTTGAGGCCCTAGAGCTATCAGTCCAAAAGTTTTTGTCAGAGGGCAAACAGGTGGTTTTGTGCGGCGACCTAAATTGTGATCTCCTGCGCCCGAATCTACCCCATGTTCGACCACTGCTTGACCTCATCAACAATACTGGGCTGCATCAGTGTGTCCACCATCCGACCCGTGTTACAAGTTCTTCGTCCACTCTTATTGACATTGTTCTTGTAAGTGATTGCTCCATTGTGACAGGATGTTACTCTGAGGATTGCATCGTATCTGATCACAACCTAGTAATTGTCAAAATGAAAGTGAAAAGGACTAGAGTGAAACCCAAATCAATCACTTTCCGAAGATGGAAAAATATTGATTTGCAGACGTTCACTAATGAGCTGCATGCGATTCCCTGGCCCACAGTGGCTAGTGCTTCAAATCCCGATGAGGCCTGGCAGAACTGGACGGACACAGTCGTCCCCATTATTGATCGCTATGCTCCGTTCGTTACTGTTTCATTCAAACATAAATCTGGATTTGGTGTTTCCTCTGCCACCAGACACCTCATCCGTTCTACGACGGCTCAGTTGCGAATTGCTCGGCGTTCTAACGCTCCGTCAGACATTGCTGTCTATAAGCATATGCGTTGGCAAGTAAAACGTGCTATTATTTTAGAACGACGAATGAAATTTGAGCACAGTATAAAAAAGAATACGTCCAGCAGAGATACCTGGGATCTAATAAACGTGACGTTGGGTAAGGTCAAACAGAGTCAGCATCTGGACAAAAACACAGCATGGGCATTCAACAACTTTTTCTGCTCGGTCGGGCAAAATATTTCCGCTAATGTGCCAGCCAGTTCATTAACTGATGACATCGCTTACGGACCGCCAAGAGTCTTATCTACTAAGTTCGATCTTCGTCCAGCTACCTTGGCTGAACTGCGGTCAGTAGTGCGATCCTTAAAGGTAAATTCGTCCTCAGGACCCGATGGACTCCCTGCTTTTCTATTTAAGTCTTTTTCTAGCAAGTTACTCATGCCACTCCTGCGGATATTCAACTCTTCCATTACCAGCGGTACCTTACCATCGTGCTGGAAGACAGCTGAAGTCGTGCCTGTTCATAAAGGTAAAGGTGATATTAAAAATGCGTCCAATTACAGGCCGATTTCGCTGTTGTGTATTGCTTCTAAAATTATGGAGAGACTCGTCGCTCTTCAGCTTAAGGAGTATTTGAGCGACTCTTGTGTGTTGTCGGACGAGCAGTTTGGATTCCGACCGCGTCATTCCGTAGAGCACGCTCTCATTGCTTTAACAGAGTCCATCAGGTCCTCTATTGATAGGGGTAATGTATGCATTTTGGTGTGCCTTGATTTGAGCAAGGCATTTGACTCTGTAAACCATCATATGCTGCTAGATAAACTCTCCCAGTACGGTATTGACCACCCCTGGTTCAAAGCCTACCTAACAGATAGATGCCAATATGTACGAGGCTGTAGTGATGTTACAGGCCTTGTCTCATCGGGTGTTCCACAAGGAAGTGTTCTGGGTCCTTTACTGTTTAACATATATGTGAACGATTTGCCTACCGTCGCTCCTGAGCCAGGTTCCATGATTCAATATGCTGATGACACCCAGGTGCTAGTGTCTGGATCACCTCACGACCTGGTTGATATGGTCGATCGTCTTCAGGTTTTGCTTAAAAAGTTAAGGACTTGGTTCTCACAAAATCACCTATCACTGAATGTTGCTAAATCACAGGTTATTGTTTTTGGCTCCAAGGTTATCTTGAAACGGATCGACCTGAAGAGCATACAAATATTTGATACCGTCGTGTCTATCAAACGGTCCGTGATCAGTTTGGGTGTGACACTTGACAGCTGTCTCACATGGAGCAACCACATTGACACGATTACGGGCAAATGTATCGGCATGCTAATCCGTTTGAGTCAGCTGCGCCACATGATGCCTTTAAAAACTATTGTCCTACTGATAAACTCGTTAGTTTTGCCGCATATGCGTTTCTGTGTTTCAGTGTGGGGAAACTGCAGTATGACTCAAGCAAAAAGAATAGCTAAGATTGTTAAATTTGCCAGGCGAATCGCGGGTCGCGAAGGCAAAAGTGTGGCATGGCGTGTTGATCTTGCCACGGAATATAAAATTGCTGCTCTTAATATTGTCCGCCAATGTCTGCTTTTTCCTGAAAGTACAACGCCTCTCGTTTCGACGCTTTTTATGACACGACAATCTGAACGTAACACAAGACAATCAGAGAACCTTGATCTTGTTGCCCCAAGAACGGAATTCATGAAAAATTCTCTTTCTTACCAAGGCTCTAAGCTTTGGAACAGCTTGCCCCCTCAAGTGAGGGACGCCTCAAAGAATGAAGTAATAAAGTACATTCTAACAAAGGCAGACATTGACAAGCCATGATTATCGGTCATATGCTCGTACTTATACAATGTATCGTTTCAACGTGAGCAATTGCCAGTGTTTCATTTGATGTCACTCGCCAGTCACTGCACTATACGTTTGAGGACTACTTCTTTGTATCAGGAGAATATTGATATGGTGGCAGTTTGAGTCTGTTCATGTAACGTGCATGTAGCCTGTAGGTAACATGCATAGGTAATAGGTATGTTCATAAGTGGATCATGTAAAGTGTTGTGTACCTGGTGAACTGTATGTATGTACCTACCTTGTGCCTATTTTCACCGTAACGCCCACGTTTCTGTGGTTGGTGAAAATAAATGAAATAATAATAATAATAATAATACGACAAGGGTCTAGCTATATGGAAGTTTTGCTTTCTGCATTGTGAAGCTAGAAGTGGCATTACCTATATCAGCTCAACCTGTTCTAATGACTTATAGGTAAACACAATGTTTTCTCTGTTTATTTTAGCTACAACACGAGTCCTCAATCCTGCTGCATCCAAAACGGTAAAAATAATCCTGAGTTTTCCTATAGTCATCCATTGGTTTCCATCCATCCAGGGAGCTGCAGGGTGTCTCCGTTTCTGGGGGAATGTACTCCAGTCTCAGAGGGCGTAATGCATGCATGACCACGTGCGCTACTTTGGTGGCATTCCTCTGAGGGACACACACCGGACATTACAAATCCACCGGACTGCGCAGCTACGCGACTTACCAGACAGCATAGGTTCACCTGACAGTGCAGCCTTACCACACCACGGCTATGACGGGCTCAGACTCCCTGCAGACAGCACAGACTGTGAGTCTACACGCCAAACAAATGGGCTGACTATACCAGGCAGAGCAGGTGAAAAGATAATGCATTCATAGGACTTCACAAAAACTCACCAAACAGACTTACTACGTAGACAACACAGGCACTACCAGAGACATGCCGGGCAACACATCCAATACACGCTCCACTGGGCCTGCAGGGCCAGCAGGTCATTAAATGTATATTGATAGAGACAAGTAGAAAAACACGGAAAAAATAGTGCATGGACGTGTTTCGATTGTTAATTCTTCATCAGCATGACATAATCACAGATACCTATCTTGTTTTCTTTGTGATTATGTCATGCTGATGAAGATTTAACAATCGAAACGCATCCATGCACTATTTGTCCCGTGTTTTTCTGCAGGCCATTAAATCACGGACAAAACAACGAAAACAAAAGGCACATCGAACAGACTTACCATACAGTACGAACCTACCCAACAATGCATGGTCTCATCAAATGCAGGCTTGCCCATGTGACGTCTACCGGAAACAGATAAAGAAAAATAGACTTTTTCAGCATGGGGCACACTGAACACCGAAACACAGATTAGCCGAACTGACACAAACCACATAAATGGACAAACAAAGACCAGCCAAGATAAGGCAGAGTCGTCGGGCCAACGCAGGACGCATGGACTCACGGACTTTGGCGTGCCATGGACCCGGACGTGCCATGGTCTCAAAGTAGATGCATGCTAGTTGCAGTGATAAATTGACCCATCCTGTCTCAAGACATGGAGTTGAATGAAAATATGAACTAAGCGATGAGCATGATTTGATAGCGTTTAGAAAACATCACGCAGCATATTGAACATATTGTGACGAGTACACGCATGTGTCAAATAGTCATAGTTAGCATGGATCAATCATAGTGTGGCTATATAGATATTTCTATGTTTGCATAAGCAACAGTTTATGCAAATGCCGAATGCTGCGCCTTTCACCTGAAAGGTCAGTGACTGTGCTGCTGTGGCGTGGCGGTATTTCGGTGTCAGGTAAAGCCGATGAAGCACCGCATCGCTCTAATGGTATGAATTCATGTCGACCTCATTGGCTAAGTGCGCACTGTCGCCCGAAGGTGGCTGCCACCGCAGTATCACCGGGTGAGAACAGTTTGTCCACGTATGCAGTTAAATCTTAATATAATGCTGTTTAGGTAAATTTGGGATTAACTGCGCCTTTAGATCATGTCACTACTGTTGTGTGCAATTATGTAAGCTGCTGCGTTAGTGCATGGAGGTAAAATTGCGTGCAGTTGGTTCTGGTAACTAACAACCACAGCTGCCGGTCACTGCCCGGGCGCGCAGCTTCGCACGCTGCTGTGACCGTCTGTGACCTGCTGTGACCGTCTGTGACCTGTTGTGGCCTATTGTGACCTGTCTGCTGTGACTCGCTATACCTTTTGCGACTGATGTGAACAGACGTGACCTGTGACCGCTGTGGCTTGTGACTTCTTGTGACCCTTTGTGACCTGCTGTGACTCATTGTGATCAGCTGTTGTGACGTTATTTACAGGACGCTATGACCGTCTATAACCAACTACCCCAACTACCTGTGACTGATCTGCTGTGTTCGGTCGTAACCCACTGTGAGCCCCTGTGACCCCTATGACCTCTGCGACATCTAGGACCCTTCGCCCAGGTAGCATACCAGCATGCTGTGACCTGCAGTGACCTGCTGTGACCTCTGTGACTCTTGTGACCTCTGTGACTTAAGTAACCCGTGTGACCAATGGACCATATATGTGACCCCTGTGACCCCTGTGACCTATGCGACCTATGTGACCCTATGTGATCTCTGTGACCCGGCGCCCAGATGGTGCACCAGAATTACAATCCCTGGGACCCCTATGCCCTCTATGGCCCTTCGCCCAGGTGGCATACCAGGACGCTGTGACAGCTGTGACCTGCTGTGACCTCTGTGACGTGCTGTGATTTGTGAAGACTGTGACCCCTGTGACTTCTGTGACCCATGTGTGATTCTGTGACCCTGTGAGCTCTGTGACCCAGCGCGCAGGTGGTGTACCAGGACAGTGTGACCTCTGTGACCTGTTGTGACCCCCTGTGACCGCTGTGACACGGCGTCCAGGTGGTGTACCAGGACGCTGTGACCCCCTGTGACCTCTGTGACCCGGCGCGCAGGTGGTGTACCAGGACAGTGTGACCTTCTGTGACCTGTTGTGACCTGCTGTGACCTCTGTGACCCGGCGTCCAGGTGGTGTACCAGGACGCTGTGACCCCCTGTGACCTCTGTGACCCGGCGCGCAGGTGGTGTACCAGGACAGTGTGACCTTCTGTGACCTGCTGTGACCCCCTGTGACCTCTGTGACCCGGCGTCCAGGTGGTGTACCAGGACGAGGACGAGGACGACGGACCTCAGCCCGATCCGACGCTGGAGAACGGCAACGGTCTGCCGATGCGGATCAAGCCCGACTTCCCGCCGGAGCTGATCGGCGTCCCCATCGAGGATGTCGACCCCTACTACCACAACCAACGGGTAAGAACCCCCATAGACCCCTTCTACCACAACCAGCGGGTAAGAACCAACCATAGAACCCCTTATACCGCAACCAACGGGTAAGAACTACCCATAGAATAGAACCCCTTCTACCACAACCAACGGATAAGCTGTAGCGCCCCCCCCCCCCCCTCACTCCACAGACCCCTTCTACCACAACCAACGGGTAAGAACCCCCATAGACCCTTTCTATCATGAGCAGACGATGAGCCGCACTCTCGCGCCACTGTGGACTCTAATGGGTTAAAGCTGAATTGCACAGCGACTCACGAGGAAGCAGCGATCGAGTTTCGTACTTATAATAGAGAAAATATTGAAGAGTGTGCTCCCACGGCGTAACACTGTGATTCCTGAGATCCGCCAACGTCCCGGTGCACCGATCTCGGAACTGGACCCTCACGAAACGACCTCGATCCAACAAAAATGTGTATTTTTCATTGTTTTCTAACACTTTCTGATTAAACTAATGGAACAATTTTAAAATCGTCATCATCTTGAAAAGTGCAGCATCCACAATGGCCCAAAACAGCACCTGGGGGCGCACGGCACCGGTTATATATTTCAGCCAAAAGTCTGGCCAGCGGCCATTTGTCTCTGCAGCATATTGCCACGGCCATTCATCATGGGCTGGACGCTGAGTGGAGTCTGCTCCGGTGACAGTGCGGGGCGGTCTCGGAGCTGTTACCGACTGCTGTTACAGACTGGTGTTACCGACTGGTGTTACCGACTGCCGACTAGTGTTATTGACTGGTGTTACCGACTGGTGTTACCGACTGGTGGTACCGACTGGTGTTATTGGCTGGTGTTACAGACTGGTGTTACCGACTGGTGTTACTGGCTGTTACCGACTGGTGTTACTGGCTGTTACCGACTGGTGTTACCGACTGGTGTTACCGACTGGTGTTATCGACTGGTGTTATTTACTGGTGTTACTGGCTGTTACCGGCTGGTGTTACTGACTACCGAATGGTGTTACTGACTGCCGACTGGTGTTAGTTATTGACTGGTGTTACCGACTGGTGCTACTGACTGGTGTTACTAAGTGGTGCTACTGGCTAGTGTTACCGACTGGTGTAGGTAAGCGACCGGTGTTACCGGCTGAACTGGCCACGCCAGTGACTTTTTCGCTGTGTAGTGAAGGCGACCCGTTTCGATGGCACCCCCCCCCCCCCTCAACCGCGACCCGTTCCGGCCAGCCCCACCCTGCCGCTGGCGGGGTCTTCGATCGCTACCTGCACCAAAACAGACGGACCAGCCGGGCACAGGACAGGACACAGGACGGGACACAGGACGGGACACAGGACAGGACACAGGACGGGACACAGGACAGGACACAGGACAGGACACAGGACAGGACACAGGACGGGACACAGGACGGGACACAGGACGGGACACAGGACAGAACACAGCACAGGACACAGGACGGGACACAGGACAGGATGACACGAATCATTGGACACAAAACAGGACAAAGGAAGGATAGGACACAGGACGGGACACAGGACAGGACACAGAACGGGACACAGGACAGGACACAGGACGGGACACAGAATAGGACACAGGACAGGACACAGGACAGGACACAGGACAGGACACAGGACAGGACACAGGACAGGACACAGGACAGGACACAGGACAGGACACAGGACAGGACACAGGACAGGACACAGGACAGGACACAGAACAGGACACAGGACAGGACACAGGACAGGACACAGGAAGGACACAGGACAGGGCACAGGACAGGACACAGGACAGGGCACAGGGCAGGACATTGGACAGTACGACACGAATCATTGGAGACAAGACAGGACAAGGGATGAACAGGACACAATTATAGCTTACAGGTGCTTTATTTGCTTTGGAATTTTGAAGTCAGCAGCAGTATGTCGTTTAATCCTCTTTTTTTAAACCTCCTGTAGGTCCACTAGCATCTAACGACTACAATTCGCTCGCTGCTATTATGTAAGCACTGAGTCTCCCTCGGGCTAATGACGCTGTTTATAGCGGCAATGTCATCGAGCACCTGAGTCCATTGAGCCCCGATCACCTTTGATCGCTCACCAATCTGGGACCTGGCAACAGACGGCTGTTGCCACAACTTAGCAAAGTGGCTATCTTCACCACTATGGGTATATAGACACCGACAGCCTTGGCCATTTGATAAAGAAATGCGATAATGTGTGGGTTGCCGTGTGGGTAATGTTAATTAATTTTATGTCAGTGTTTGAGTGGTTAAAGATTGCTTCTGGTCGTGTGCCCTTAGGCTATGTTTTGACACTTAATTAGGTATATTTTAAATCAAGCGTTAAACTATTTATGCGATGGCAGTGATTGAAATTAAAAAAAAAATGGTATAATAACTACAAGCATTGATGGACATTTTTGACTAGTTTCATCATTCAATGTCCATAATTCTTAAGTGTTTCAAATTGGGGCATGGTATTTTCAATCTTATCTTGACTCAAAATCAAGGACGAGGCGACCAAAATAAGAGAACTTGCGACAGGACACAAAAATGCGAGAGTGTACCTAATGTTTCAATGTTTCAGATCTAATGATCATGTAGACAAATGATCAACTGATCAAATGATAGGTACGCTGGTTGTTCAGCCGAACATTAAAAAGTGAGTTAGACAAATGAGTTAGACAAATGAGTCCCCATCATGCTATTTCAACAAAGATATGGTAAGGGTACTAGTGACAGTCATATGTCACATTCCAAGCCACTGCCGTATCACAGTCATATGACAGCCTCTTCTACAATGTCAGACATATGACATTCTCTGCCATAGTGCCAGTTACGCGACAGTACCTACCACCGTGTTACAGTCATATGACAGTCATCACCATATGACTGTCATATGACAGTCCCCACCACGGTGTCACAGTCATGTGGCTACCATTGGCCGCGACCACAGCTGAATACTGTCCATTTTTCACAACTCTGTTTCACCGTTGCCATGGCGATATTGAGTCGCGACGTTCGATTGTTGGTTGACGAAAATCATCAAACATTGACGCGCCGACCGTCGGACGGTGGCGTCGGCGGCCGGTGCTGACCGTCATAGGTAGTAAGCCGATCAGCTGGTCAGATGGCCGGGTAGTCAGATGATCAGATAGTTAGATGGCCAGATGGTCAAATTGTTAGACGATTAAATGGTTAGAAAGTAGAGCATTTATCAGGTGTGCAAATGATCGAATTTTCAAATGGTAAGATGGCTGTTCGACCAAATAGTCAAACAGTGAATCGCCGGACTGATATATGGTAAGATGAAAATTTAAGAATAAGGTGTCATTAGCAAATTGCTATTTTTGGTGGGTTACTGCTTACTCGTGTAGTTCCAGCCATTGATTGGTGGGTTTTGAGTTTTGACCTTGTGAGGTGATCGGGTGCCACGCACAGTTGACTCTGTCACCTCTGCTGGGGACAGTGACATATTTTTTATCTGGTCAAACGAGACGATTTTAGCGATGTGAGGCAGCGTGAGCGGATTGTTCCCGTTTGCCCGTCTTGCAGGGTGACCGGCTGTCCTTCTTTCACTCAGCCGCAGTAGGGTGTAGGACGCCCACATCATACCCGGCGGCCCCGGGCCCGGCTGACGCCCGGTTTGGCCGACCCACCTCCGTTCGTGAGGCATCGAGCGAACATCGACTGTCCATGGGTCGTCTCTTAGGAACGGACCGCGCACCAGGGAAACAGGAGGGTGGGCCGAGCGGCCAGCCGGCCGGCCGGCGCCCCTGAACGCCGTCAAGGTTGACCTACATCGATTTGATGGGAGCTCGATCAAATCACAAACCACTCCTGAAATATCCTGAAACAAGTCGCATGTGTCTGAAAATGACGGTCGAATAAAAAAAACTGTTTTTGATTGAATTTAAGAAAGCGACGCTTGCCTGACCAGGGCTTCTAATCTATTAGCAACGCACACTATTTCTAATATTTCGCGCAAAGCATGGTACCTATATAGTACATGTCAAATGATCGACAGCATAATATCTCAGCAGAACAATGCTGCAATTGTTGAAATAACCCGTGACTGTTATGAAAACCCGCATTGAAACGTGTTGAAACATACCCAAATGATTTAAAATCACTGAACATTCATGTCTGTTAATGTTTGTTGTTTATACCAGCTGACCTGATGATGCTCTTTTTTCTGTTTTCAGACGTTTATAGTGGTGAACAAGGGGTACGATATATATCGATTCAGTGCCTCGTCCGCGCTCTGGATCCTGGATCCGTTCAACTCGATCCGGCGGTCGGGCATCTACATCCTGACACACTCGCTGTTCTCGCTGATCATCATGACGACCATCATCGCCAACTGCGTCGTCATGTGCATGCCGACCAGCGAGATGATCGAGTCCAGCGAGTGAGTCCCGGGTGACGCGCGCTGGAGAGGGGATGCAGTCTACTCTGGGGGCTCCGGCCTAGTGAATCGTGTGAGCTGCCTGTCGCGGCAGACACGCAGAGATCTTCTTTTCCGTGTCTTTTGACTTACCTGGCTGGTTTTGTGTAACATTGACGTCAAAAGCTTTCCGTACTAAATTTGGATAAGGAGTTCCACTAATTTGGAAAAACTTAACAATATGCTTTTTAAACGTGATTAAATCCGTTCGTGGTTCTATATGTATTCTATTCCTGTTATTGTTTCGTGCTATTGATCCTTGTAATTGCTTGCGCACACCCTTAGTCTTTACATCTAATAACCATCGAACGATCTTTTAGAAGTAACCCATTCGAGCGCTCATCGACTGCCCCATGCCTTTCGGGTGGCCGGCATCCACTAACACTGTGTCATCGTGGTTTTTTCTCTTGCAGAGTTTTGTTCACGGCTATTTACACGTTCGAGTCGGGGGTGAAACTGATGGCGAGAGGTTTTATTTTGGCTCCGTTCACATATCTGCGGGATGCCTGGAACTGGCTCGACTTCGTTGTGATAGCTTTAGCGTAAGTGCTGGTTGAACTAAAGAAATGTCATTTTCAGGATCAAAACAGTATCAGCTTGTAGAATGTAGAGTATAGCGACAGATAAAAATACATTAATTTTTAGTCGTTTACAGGCACTAAAGATTGCATATTACGTAAGGACATTGATACTAAAAATTACACTGAAGTTGCCCTTTAACTATTACAGTTGTGGTATGATGCTGCTTATCCAAATTGATACTCCTACTATAGTTACGCTTTGATTTGCCATAATAAAGCACTGATATAACCATATCATTTTGAACATATCCATTTCACGAAGACGTTAGACTCATCAGCATCAGGTCAGGATAACGAATCCTTTTTGCAGAATCAGGATGAGCTGTGATTGATTACTGGATGCTCTGACCCGCAGATACATTACCATGGGTGTAAATTTGGGAAACCTTGCTGCCTTGCGGACGTTTCGAGTCCTACGTGCTCTCAAGACGGTGGCTATTGTCCCGGGTAAGTGCTGCCCTTCCACTCTCGGCTAGTTTTGTAAATAGAAATAATTATAACCTGATTTTTCTATACATTTTATTGACTTGCATTTATCGCAAAATGTATTATCTTTCTGTACGAGTATGTCTATCCTCTTGTGATCCCAAAGACGGACAGAACATTCGAGTAACGTACACATAATATAATACGTTTGCTTCTATACGGGTACCTAATATCCGGCTGTTTTGTGAGACAGAGCTTTACCATATCTGACGCCGCTCTCTGTTGTTGCAGGCTTGAAAACGATCGTGGGAGCCGTGATAGAGTCAGTGAAGAACCTGCGAGACGTCATCATATTGACCATGTTCTCGCTCTCAGTGTTCGCCTTAATTGGACTGCAAATTTATATGGGTGTGTTGAGACAGAAGTGCATACGCAGTTATGAGAACACGACGACCGTGATAGATGAGAACGGCGTGAACGTCACTGTGCGGCTCAACCTCACCGACGAGGAGTGGTTCGCCTGGAACAACCGGACAGGTGAGTCGAAGGCCGCCGGACGGCGCCGCGCAGCGCGGACAGATGGGATGATGGGCGCTCGGCGAGGTCGTCAGGGAACGGGATGGGGCTGTTAGGGATCAGTGTTGGGCACCAGAGACCGGTGTGGGGCAGTTAGAGACCAGTATGCAGGGCACTCAGAGACCGTTATGAGGCAGTGGAATGCTCAGGTAACGGGATGCGTCCTTCAGTGTGTGTGTGTTGGGGGGAGGTGGGGGGGGGGGGCTCAGAGACCGGTCTCAGAGATCTGTGTGCGATTCTCAGAGACCGATGTGGACTGTCGAGCTCTCAGAGACCCTTTTGGTTTGGTCAGATACTGGCTTGGGTTCCTCATATACTGGGAAGAGGCCGTCTGAATACGGTGGAATGAGCATTTCTACATAGGCGTATCAGTTTTCAGCACTGATGAGCTAGCTAACGGCTAATATTCTAATGAATTTTACTTGATGCACGCTGGAGGGGACGGTGCATTGAGTGGTATTCATGGCAATTCCGCGAGGCTGCTGATTGGACTTGGCTGGTTTCCATTCTCCTGACAATGGCAAGCGGTACAAGGTGTCAAACTCAGGTTTAGCTGCAATAATGATAAATGTCAATTGCAGATTCAAGTTTCTGGTATTGTAACATTTCAGGGTGGTTTCCGGTTGCCTAAAAGTGGAGTTTGCTCTTGTCAGCAAGTCCGAATGCTGTCCGGAAACGTAAGAAAAAAAATAGAATGTAGAATGTGGTCTGTATTTTTACGGTCGATTTTAGGTGAGAATGTGTATATATTTATCAAAGACTGTTGGTATCAACCAAAGGCTGCACACATTGAAAATTCGGAATGTCGTACTGTAGCATGAATTTTTCCATGGGAATTTACTGACGGACTATTTGTTCTTGGTCACAGAGTACAGACTATCGGTATTTGATCGCTGACTGTTGGTATTTGGTCACTGACTGTCGTTATGAGAGCTGTTGGTACGCTGATGCAACTTTCGGAATGTGGTGTCTCAGTATTTCGTCACGAACTGTCGGTGTTTGGAATGGCCAAGGACTGTTGGTTCGTGGACTGTCGAGTGTCGGTATTCGGCTCCGGTCTGTGAGTTTGCAGTCACAGACTGTCGGTATTTGGCCACTGGCTGTCGGTATTTGGCCATGGACTATCGGTATTTAGTCGTGGACTGTCGGCATTTCGTCACACACTGACGGTATGCAGACAGTCGGAAGCTGGTCACGGACTGTCCGTATTCGTCACGGACTGCCGGTATTTTCCAAGAGAATTTGGCCACGGACTGCCGGTATTTGTCCATGAATTGTCGTTATTTGGGCGCGCACAGTCGGTAACTGGTCTTTGAGTGTCGGTATATATTCACCGATTGTCGGTATTTGGTCACTGACTGTCGGCACGCTGTCAGTCAGTATTCGGCCCCTGACTGGGTTTGCAATCACGGACTGGAGGTATTTGGCCACGGGCTGGCTTCCATTTGGCCACAGACTGCCGGTATTTGGCCATGGACTGTTGGTATTTTGTCGATATGCGAACTGCCCGTATTTGTTCACGGACTGCCGGTATTTGGCCACGTACTGTCAGACTTTCGGTATTTCGCCACTGACTGTCGGACTATCGGTACTTTCCAAATGACTGTCGGACAGTCTTTATTTGGCTACGGACTGTTGGTCTGTCGGTATTCGGTCACGAACTGTCGGTATGTGGCCTGTCGGTATTTGGCAACACGGAGTGTCGATATGCAGACTGTCAGTATTCGGTCGTCGGTATGTGGTCCTGGAGTGTCGTTATGTGGTATTGGAGTGTCGGTATTTGGCCACTGGCTGTCAGACTGTCGGTATTTTTCCACGGACTGTCAGTATTCGGTCACGGGATGTCGGTATGCGGTCACGGACTGTCAAACTGTAGGTATGCGGCCACGCACTGTCGGTACAGTTCACGGATTGTCGAGCTGTCGGTATTTGGCAACTGAATGTCGGTATTTGACAAAAGACTGTCAGTATTCGGCCAAGGACTGCCGGTCCGCGGACTGTCGGTATTTGGTCACGGAGTGTCGGTATGCGGCCGGTCCGCGGGCCGGTCCGTCGGCCCGTATCGACCGGGCGGCGCCGGCCGCGCCGCGTCGCCGGCCGGCCGGCCGGCCCGGTGGCAGCGCGGCGCCTCCCCATTATTGATTGGCCGGCGGACCGCGCCGCCCCTGGTCCGCCAAGGGCGCGTGCCTCCGACTATGACCGGCCGACACACCGCCCCGCCGTCCGACAATAAAAGGGCCTGTCGGAGGGCGCCGGCCGACCCGACCGCCCGGCCGCAGACAGCTGATCGCCCAGCGTCAGCACTTCAGCAGCATCTGCCTGCGCACTGCGAATTTGACACGATGTGTGCGGGAATAATGAGGCGATCTCCATGGCGAATCTTTTTTCTTCAATAAAAACACTCAGCAGAGCGAGTAATGTTGATGACAAGCATGTGTGCCGCCAACTAAAGCAAATTCATGCGCCAGTTGAAGTTCCAAAAGATCACAAAATGTACGTAGATAGCGCAGTGTATGTAGGTAGGTACTTCTTTCTAAGCAACAGAGCACGGTTATGGCTGGGCGGGGGTGGGGACAGGGGATGGCAAAGCTGAAGTGGGAGCGCTTCACAACCTGCATCTGACTGGCTGTCTTGCTGTCTGGCTGGTTGACTGGATGACAGACATGTCTGCCCCTCTGTCTGTTTCTTTCTGGTCGTCTGTTAGGTTCAACTGACTGGCTGACTGACTGACTGACTGACTGACTGACTGACTGACTGACTGACTGACTGACTGACTGGTTCAGTGCATTGCATGGCCTCCTGTCTGGCCACTTTTCCGACGAACTGTGTGGCACACCTGATCACCTATCGGTGTTCACCTGAACAGGTATTCCGCTACATTGACGCCATAAACAGCCTCGTAATGGCCGCATCGACGTGTTTGCCTCCTGAATCATGCTGTTTTCCTCCCGTGAAAGTACGCCCTGCCCGAATAAAATACCTCGATCCCTTCTCAGGAAAGTTGCAGTGAGACATAATGTGATTTTACGACGAGATCCTGCGACATTGGATATTTGAGTCCTGACATAACTCAGGCCAGCGCGGCGAATCGTCGTCCGTTCGGCGGCGAAATCAATTGATCGAGAGCAGACTCTCGGAGAACGAGGGGAATGGAGGGGAGGGATGCCGTATGTGGCTCCCATTCATTGCCAGACGACGTCGTTAGTACGAGCGAGATTACTATGGGAACGAGTAGGTACTTTTCGGGCGAGCCGCTCTGTTTGGGACCTTGAATGATAACTGGCTGAAAGAGAAAAAATGTGATAATGACATGATGATTGATGAGTCTCTTATAGCTATTATAGCCATTGTATATAGCCACTATGTATATCTTGTAGCGCCAGTACTGCAGTCCGCGATGTTACCGTATGTATTACGGCGCTGGTCAGTGCGAGCCGGCACTGGCCCGCGCGATATTACCGCATGCTGCGGGCGCTGATCCGCGCAATGTTGCTGTGCCAGCGGCATGGGGCCGATCCATTGTGGCTGTCGGCGGCCGCTGGCAGCCGCCGGCCGCCGGGAGATCGGCTAGAAAACACGTCAGACCTCATTAGTGTGTGTGGGTGCCCAGGGCGGCGCCGGGGGAGCTCCGGTCGCCGTCTCCTCTGTGTGCCGCCGGGGACGCCGAGACGGATCGCGCAGCCCGCGGAGGACGCGCACCCGCCGCTCTCTTTTCGCTGTCCTCTCGCCGGTCGGCGTTTTTTCTCCGGACGCCAGCTGCAGAAGAGAAATGGCCCGCGCCGGCCGGTCGGCGTCAATAGGCGATGGGTGCCGTTCATATTGGCGGCGCCGGGACCCTGTGCCTGCGTGCCGACGGCATGGTTTATGGACTGGCAGTTGATCTGCGGGCGGCTGATAGGGCCCGACACACGCCGCGTGTAGGTACTGCACACACAGTGGACAGAGAGGATGGGGAGCGATCGAGTGGCGCTATCAGCGCGGGCAAACTGACACACAGCCGGGCGCCGTCCGTCAGGCTGGTGCATGCTCTGTTGGACTACAGCCTTCAGGGCAACCAAGAATGCCGGAGATGCTTGGGACAACTGCTGGCGAAATGTTTTGCTCTCTGATGTGTGAAAAAGTGATTTACTATGTCGACACCTTTTTTAAACCCCACATTTGTTCTCCGGCGAATTTCAGACAAGTTGGTTAGAGACCTTCAAAAAAGGTACAATCACTCGATTTTTCTCAAGTTTGTCTGTCTTGGCAGATAAAGCAATACCAGAACAGGCCTACGAACACACATATTTGATCAGGATCGGACGATTGGACACTTTTAAAAGGAGATCTTTCGTGCCTCCCGGAAATTCACGGGAGAGCAGATGTGGGGTTTAAAAAAGGTGTCGATGTGTATTGTGCACCATTCATCTTGACTCTTGACGGAGAGCATCCATTCTTTACAAAATCATCAGTGATACGAGACCAATGAATGAAGGTGCGGCCTGGTCCTCGATCGGAGAGAGTTAGTTAGACATGCGTTCAGTGCAGTCAAGTCTTGCAGAGGTTTCAACAGTTCGCGTTGGGCTCTATATCACAGATGTGTCACACTTTTGCTGGTATATTTAGGCTTATGTACAGCCCTCTGCTCACTGCGTGGTAGGTTATACTTGCTTCAGCGAAACCGGCCAATATCTCAAAGGCTCTGCTACCGAGTGCGCGGAAGTCCTAACGGAGGGACGCGCAATATCACACGACTTTGTTTAACCTTCCAGGCGGTGGGGGGGGGGGCATTTTTTGCCCCCCCCCCTTTAGTTTTTTCGATATATCTCGAGAACCGCTGCGCCGATCGTCACCAAACTTTCAGTACCCTCCCGGGAGCAGCTAGCGCACATGGTGACCAAAAAATTTTCCAAAGGCTATGATAGGTTGGCCGCTAATGACGTCAGAGTGACGTCATTTTGTCATTTTCGACCCAAAAAAGG